TGATTATTGGCTGAATGTTTAGCGAAAGAAGCTTTCATTGGCTAATATTTGGAGCAGTTACCATAACAACCAAGGTAGCAATCTCCGTAGTCTAGGTGCCGTACACTCAACCCCACCTCAGAGACGAGTCTAAATTATCTTACCCAAATACTTCTCTTGTGTTGTATTATGTAGTGAACAGATCACTTAGGTCATTGATGAGTCTGTAGCACAAAGTTATACTTAGTTCCTATTATCTAGATACGCGTTATAACTCGTATGTGAACACTGAATAAATAGTTAAATCAATATGAAGGATTCATAAAACTGACTACTCGAAATACTATTAGCTAGTATGGGATGCGTGCGTATGTGTGTGTTGAAACTTAAATAAAATTATATAAAAAGGTGCTGGTGTTGCCTGCAAACGTGGAAATAAAGATTCACATTTGATGTGACCGTTTAGATACATCAGTATAGTACGATACAAAGGAGTGTGGTGAATAAAGAAATGGATATTCGAACATATGAACAACAGGCATATAATTGAGAGAGTGAGTGAGAGAGAGAGGACACGAGTGTTATAAATTATTTCACCGTTAAAGACAAATATGAATATCTACGTAAAAACAGGGAATTTTACAGTTGGCTCCATCCCTGCGTTTGCCACATTAGCCTTGCCAATCCTCTCTCTGAGGTCGGAATCCCAAACGGTATGGGAGGGGAATGCCGGAAATGGCGTCTTTCTGGGGCATGGGGGGGGGGGTGAAGAGTGAAAGCTTACCGTTTCTTATTTGGTTGGGAAGATTACAATATAGAATAACGCTTTAATAATATCGATAAGGTTTCCTCAGCTGAGTGTAATCGTCTAGTGCTGCCAGATGACAACACCAAAGTTACATTAGGATGGGAGGATGGGTTATTGATATGTTTGAATCTATATCTTGTTGAAGCAACCAAGTTTTGTTTAACCCTTGGTTACAAGATGAATTTCCCCATTCAAATAAAATCGTCTGGTGGTAGCTAGAATAAAATACATAAGAGGACATCGTAACGAAGGGATTAATTAGCAATAAAAACAATCAGGAGGTGGACACCACAAAATTATTATAATACAAATTTGATGTAAAGAAATATAGTTCAGTTGGCTGCAGTCCGGTGTAGAATTAGCAAATCAATTGGTTCAGTTATGCCAAACAGTGAGGTTAAATGGCAAAAAAAAAGACAATGTTTTTATTATTATTATGAAATGTGCAATTTATGATGCACAGCGACAGTACTGTTGTTTAAAGGTGTTAAATAATAAAGTTTGTATGCAGTGCACTCGACTTCCCAATCCCCTGCCTTCCCTGGCTCCACCACCCAACTTCTGCTCGAATCATTGAAGACAATTTACAGAGTAGAATAATGTTGTGTCCTTTCATTTCCATGAGGCAGTTATGATGAGAATACAAATACAAGTGATACCCAGTATTTCAAGCAACCAGGGTGTGGCAGTTATTAGTATTAGCCACTCGTTTACATTATTAAGCGTTAGTTAGAATAAATGTTCTTTTCCATTCATTCTGAGTGCTTTAAGTGTTGCAGTTTATACTTCTTCTCGACTGTCTCTATATTCTGCCGGAATGTAGAACGTTTGGACCATGGGCCATGACCCCCGAACAGAGTAGAATAATGTTGTGTCCTCTCATTTCCATGAGGCAGTTATGATGAGAATACAAATACAAGTGATACCCAGTATTTCAAGCAACCAGTGTGGCAGTTATTAGTAGTAGCCACTTGTTTACATTATTAAGCGTTAGGTAGAATAAATGTTCTTTTCCATTCATTCTGAGTGCTTTAATTGTTGCAGCTTATACTTCTTATCGACTGTCTCTATATTCTGCCGGAATGTAGAACGTTTGGACCGTGGGCCATGACCCCCGGATGTTTGGGTCATGGGCCACGATCCCAGGGTGTTTGGGCCATGAACCACGACCCCCGAACATTTGAGGTCATGGTTCAAAACAACAATATAATAATGTAACGTAACGTAACGCAACCTATCCTAACCTAAATGCTCCAGACTGGAAAATTGAGGACAATTTTGGTCCATAGACCAAAAGTCCACCCTACATACAGTTCCTGGCCCAAAAGTCAGAATACTATTCTGGCGTCAGTCTGTCTATGCCATATAGTAGCGAGATAATGTAATATCAGACATATGTAATTTTACTTCGTACACTAATAATATGATCTATTGGATATGAACCACTGTCCTGTGTGGCAGTGAACAGTGATGTCACCCCACATGATTATGACCTATGTATACTATTAATGAATATGATCTATTTCTTTGTATATGAACCACTGTCCTGCATGGTAGTGTGAAGTGATAGCACCCTCAGTGTCAAGACCTGACTTAATTACTCAGAATAGGCAAACTGTACTCCACCCTTTGCCAATAAATTTGTTAACCAGGGTAGCGGAGTGAGGATCCGAAGGTTCCCTCCCGTGCACAACGCAGAAGCAACTTGATTATTTAAGACCTTTAGGCAGTAGCTATATCACTTTGCAACAATTTTTTTTTTACTCATTTAGCCTCACTGTTTGGGACAACTGAACTATGTGGTTTGCCGATTCTATACCGGGCAGCAGCCAACTGAATTATTTTTGTTGGTATGACGTTTGCATCAAAATAATTGTGGTGCCCACTTCCTGATTGTTTTAACTAATCTTTTCACTATTATGTATTTATATCTATTTTATTTTGATTACCGCCAGACGATTTTATTCGGCTGGTAAAGCTCCATTTCGCAGTCAAATGGCTTAACAAAAACATCGCTGCTACTATAAGATATGTTCAAAAATTTCCATTATCCACTTGCTCATAAATGCCCCTTTTGCTTAGAACATGAATTCATCCCCTTCTCATTTTATTTCAACTTTAGTATTCTTAGCTGGCTAGTTAGACGATTACTTTGAGGAAACTATCACTAATGTCAAAATGTTATCCTGCATTGTAATCTCTCCCAACCAATACATTTCCGTCCTCACCCCTCTACTATTACACGATCTCCTCCCCATAAAAAGACAACTACCGCAACACCCTCCTCTTCCTCCCGTTCACTAGAAAAAGCTTCGAATTCGGGGGTTCAGATCTCAGGGAGAAGGGATTGGCAACACCAAGTGGTATATGTGCACCGTTTTTTAAAGAATTTAGAAAATACGTGAAAAAAGATGTTGAAGAAGCATTATATTGCCTATCAACTTTTAACTTCTTATTCTTATTTTATTTTATTTTTTCTGGGGGGGTGGGAGGCCGTGACCAATTCTTAAAATATTAAGAGGAAGAACACTCAAAATGTTTGTTAGTTGCCTTTTCGTTTATCAGTTAAATGGTTGGTTATCGTATAGTATGTGGTTATACTAGCCGACCCATAGAGACGCCCCCGTTATACACCAGGTAGGCCATCTGCGAAAGTGAAGTCATCAAGACATCAGATCTTCGCAAGTTATAAAGCCTGCAGAAAATACCCGCTTGTCAGTTTACCCTCCGACAAGAGTAACCACCTCCCGTAAACGCCGTGGCGGTCTTGACGGGAAAAAGGTTTTATTTCTTACGCGGGATATCCGAGGTCAATAGTAGTCACAGTGTACAACTTGAGGTACGCGTACTGTAGGTGTAAAGTGAAAACTAACTGCTCTCGTTTTAGAGCTCTGGCTGGACCAAAGGAAGTTCTTTTTTCTCCTTATGGTCGTGTCTATTTAACGTTGACACTTCCATGGTCCTTATCGTGTTGAATTCATTTGGTTTTTTAATGGGTGCGATTTTTTTTTCTATTGTGGTACGTGTTGTACCACCTAGGGCAAAGTTCGGGCTTGTTGCGTTGCTGTACATTACATTGCTTGGTTCTCGTGTCGTTTCCTCGAGGCTTTTGCGAAATCGGTATTTACTCTTGCTTAATGGAAACCTGCGCTTACCATGTGTAAGCTTTGTGATTATTAAAGCTCTGGATATATTTAATAATATACTTTTCATATATAGTATTTTATACCCCGTGTTGCGCTGCCAATGATACTCGCACCAAACATGTTAATTCCAGTCAAATTGAATTAGAGGTCCTAACGATGTGTTGTGTAATTATTTTTTCTGATACAGGGAAACTGTCAGACATACTTTTCCCTAGCGACTGCAAAACACAATCAAGACGATCAAATATAAAGTCTACCAGGCTACACACTTCTATAAACCTTTTAATTACGTAGATGGTCAACGGGAATTCAATTCTTACGTAGATTTAAGGCCTTATTAGTTCCGTTATAAATCATGTCCCCGCATTACAATAGATGCACTTAAACCTTCGAAAGCTGTAATGTTTAATCACCATGTCTAGGTTGCTGCAGAGGGATTCATTTTCAGGGAAAAAATTACGTACACTGTAGTAGTCATGACAACAAACAGGCAAGACATTGTGACGACTTTATTAAAAATTATGCATATGTTTACAAGTTATCTAGACTTTGTCTTACGAATGCTATTAAACAGATAAACATCATGAAGTTATAAAATTACTGCCTGTAGAACGCCTCTGTCTCACAGATTACAGGTCGGAGAGTGTTGCAGCGAGAGTCGTGCCACCCGATGCCTAAGCTGTTCACCACCGCCAGGCACTGCTCGTTACCGTCTGCGTTGTCTGGTTGACTTCTTCCAAGCCTGGCCAAGTAAAAGGAAGACATAAAGCAGTTACAGATCAATATACACGAGCCCTGGATGTACAGTTCAGTTCTAAAATGACCGGTTTATTTTGTAAATAACTTTAGTAACTAGTGAAGTCTAACGAAAAGGAATTTTAGTTCCTTTAGGAACCATGGAATTTTTTATTTCCTGTGTAAAAGGCTACCGACTAACCTGCCGGTGTTAGACCAGTTTGTGTAACCCGTGGAGACCCCAGTCTGCCAGAACCACTGATAAGTGCTCAATGTACTGCCGCTTGTCCAGATGTCCCTGATCTGGTCTGTAGAAACATTTGAAACGATAAATAGCAAATACCAATGTTATTTAGGTTAACTTTAAAAGAAATATTTTAGGATAAAACAACCTAGACCACTTTCAGTTACTTTTTCAATAGCAGAATACGCACGATAACCGAGGTCACGAAACACTCACAAGTTCTAAGAACTCCAGCCACGAAGGAGTCTTCGTCTGGGCGCTCTATACTGATGGCCTGAAAACCGTTGCCCAGTCCCTGACAATGATGGATGGCATCGTACCAGGTGTAGGAGCGGCCGCCATCATGGCACCAGGAGAAATGGTACGCCCTGCCCTGGAACACCTCGTCCACCTGTAGAAAAAGGAGTTATGAGATCATGAAGGCGAGATATTACTTTACAGTATTAATTTTATTTGAGAGACCTGAAGGGCACAAGATCTTTAATTGGTTAAAGTCTATTGGACGACTTTTAACAAGTATTCAACACGAGTTTAGTATCAAAAGTAGTTTTGAAAGGATAATTTGTGGTCTTAAATTACCAATTGCATACTGTTGAACTTACTAAAGGTCTGCGTGCATGATCACAATACCGATTATTGGGTAAAGTTGTCAGCTTGGATGAGAAAGGGATTGGTGAAGGTAAACTTGAGAAAACTTGCTCTGGGCCTGGTGAAGCCTTGCCAGAAGTGAAGATTTGTCCTGGTTGTTGGCCCTGTGAAGTGTGGCTCGTAATGAAGACTGGACGTTGGTCATCCGAAGTCAGGCCCGAAGTGAAGACTTCCCCAGGCCGTTGTCCTTGTGAAGTTTGGCCTGAAGAACGCTGGGAGAAGTCACCCGCATCAAAGATAACACGTGTTCCGTCGTTTCTGTCGTACAAGTCTTCCGCCCAGACGGCAGTCGTCACGACCATAAGGATTATTGCCTTCATCTGGAGGTAGATTTGAAATATGGTGTAGCGTGTTTAGTATATTATGCTGAGCAAGACAGAATTACGTAGCTTACTAATATAAGTAAGCTCAATAGTTTATTTAAACATTCGAGTAGTTATAAAGGAAGTTAATTTACAAGTACAAAATAAAAATTTATGCATTTTGTCTTAGGTAGTACATAAAGTAAACCTTTAGTTTCATTATAGAAATTACATAATTTTTTAGTGACCCAACATTCAAAAGTTAATTTTTATGCAACCGAGGCGTCAATTTACTGTAGTTAAATATAATATTTTTTTTAAACAACTGAATTACATACCCTTCGACGCAGAAGTATCTAGAAATAATACGTAAACAAACAAATTCAAAACCAAATTAATTGAAAAACTAAGTTCTTAAAAACAAGTTATACAAATTTAAAAAAACACAACAAGACTGACCATGAACAAATTCGTTATATCGGGTGATGCAGCACACTGAAATCCCACGGTAAGAGCCGCCCCTTTTATACGGTCGACAATGGTGATTATTGGCTGAATGTTTAGCGAAAGAAGCTTTCATTGGCTAATATTTGGAGCAGTTACCATAACAACCAAGGTAGCAATCTCCGTAGTCTAGGTGCCGTACACTCAACCCCACCTCAGAGACGAGTCTAAATTATCTTACCCAAATACTTCTCTTGTGTTGTATTATGTAGTGAACAGATCACTTAGGTCATTGATGAGTCTGTAGCACAAAGTTATACTTAGTTCCTATTATCTAGATACGCGTTATAACTCGTATGTGAACACTGAATAAATAGTTAAATCAATATGAAGGATTCATAAAACTGACTACTCGAAATACTATTAGCTAGTATGGGATGCGTGCGTATGTGTGTGTTGAAACTTAAATAAAATTATATAAAAAGGTGCTGGTGTTGCCTGCAAACGTGGAAATAAAGATTCACATTTGATGTGACCGTTTAGATACATCAGTATAGTACGATACAAAGGAGTGTGGTGAATAAAGAAATGGATATTCGAACATATGAACAACAGGCATATAATTGAGAGAGTGAGTGAGAGAGAGAGGACACGAGTGTTATAAATAATTTCACCGTTAAAGACAAATATGAATATCTACGTAAAAACAGGGAATTTTACAGTTGGCTCCATCCCTGCGTTTGCCACATTAGCCTTGCCAATCCTCTCTCTGAGGTCGGAATCCCAAACGGTATGGGAGGGGAATGCCGGAAATGGCGTCTTTCTGTGGGGGAGGGGATGGGGGGGGGTGAAGAGTGAAAGCTTACCGTTTCTTATTTGGTTGGGAAGATTACAATATAGAATAACGCTTTAATAATATCGATAAGGTTTCCTCAGCTGAGTGTAATCGTCTAGTGCTGCCAGATGACAACACCAAAGTTACATTAGGATGGGAGGATGGGTTATTGATATGTTTGAATCTATATCTTGTTGAAGCAACCAAGTTTTGTTTAACCCTTGGTTACAAGATGAATTTCCCCATTCAAATAAAATCGTCTGGTGGTAGCTAGAATAAAATACATAAGAGGACATCGTAACGAAGGGATTAATTAGCAATAAAAACAATCAGGAGGTGGACACCACAAAATTATTATAATACAAATTTGATGTAAAGAAATATAGTTCAGTTGGCTGCAGTCCGGTGTAGAATTAGCAAATCAATTGGTTCAGTTATGCCAAACAGTGAGGTTAAATGGCAAAAAAAAAGACAATGTTTTTATTATTATTATGAAATGTGCAATTTATGATGCACAGCGACAGTACTGTTGTTTAAAGGTGTTAAATAATAAAGTTTGTATGCAGTGCACTCGACTTCCCAATCCCCTGCCTTCCCTGGCTCCACCACCCAACTTCTGCTCGAATCATTGAAGACAATTTACAGAGTAGAATAATGTTGTGTCCTTTCATTTCCATGAGGCAGTTATGATGAGAATACAAATACAAGTGATACCCAGTATTTCAAGCAACCAGGGTGTGGCAGTTATTAGTATTAGCCACTCGTTTACATTATTAAGCGTTAGTTAGAATAAATGTTCTTTTCCATTCATTCTGAGTGCTTTAAGTGTTGCAGTTTATACTTCTTCTCGACTGTCTCTATATTCTGCCGGAATGTAGAACGTTTGGACCATGGGCCATGACCCCCGAACATTTGAGGTCATGGTTCAAAACAACAATATAATAATGTAACGTAACGTAACGCAACCTGTCCTAACCTAAATGCTCCTGACTGGAAAATTGAGGACAATTTTGGTCAATGGCCCAAACGTCCACCCTACATACAGTTCCTGGCCCAAATGTCAGAATACATACTATTCTGGCGTGAGTCTGTCTATGCCATATAGTAGCGAGATAATGTAATATCAGACATATGTAATTTTACTTCGTACGCTAATAATATGATCTATTGGATATGAACCACTGTCCTGTGTGGCAGTGAACAGTGATGTCACCCACATGATTATGACCTATGTATACTATTAATGAATATGATCTATTTCCCGTTGTTGTTGTTGTTGAGATTGTCGGACCGTAGTGCGACACGGGCCTTTGCCTATAGGCGGCCCGTTTGGTGGTTCCGGCTGGAGCTCCTGGAGCAGCCAGACCGGATTGGGATTGGAGGTGGTCCCACCTGCAGATTGGAAGGATACTGCAGGTTGCAAGTGTGAGCGGACCACCGATCAGTGGACGCTTACCACCAACCCCCACTCTTGGACGTGGTCAGTTTCGGAGTGGCGCGCCCCCCGAACTGGGAGAGGATACTTTCTAAGCTATCTGGGTGGTGGGTATCGTGTGATGACCCGGAGAAGGTCGTGAATGTGATCTGTTTGGGCCTTTCGGGTTAGAGTGGCCGCTGGTGTTATGTGTGCTTCTTGGGAGATTTGAGTTCTGTTTCGGAGGCTTTGTGTGACTTCGCAGTCGAGGAGATAGTGTTCAAGTGGGTTGGCTGCTGGCTCCTGACAGTAAGTGCATTCCATGACGCCATTTCCGAACATCTGCCAGGAGCACTTGTACCCTAGTCGTAGTCGATGAAGGCTGACTTGGGTTTGTCTTGGTGTTTTCTTGTCAGAGAAAGGTGGTTCCCCTTTTGTAGCCACCAGGTACCATTTGGTTGATTGGGAACCAGCGTTGAATGCGTGAAGGAAGCTCTTTTTGATGTGGAGCTTGCTAGTCTTTCTGAGGTGATTCTTGATCTGTTGCACGCTTGCTGGAACTTGAATGTGTGCGCTACTAGAACGTGTAGCTGCCTTGGCTGCTTCGTCTGCCACGTCGTTTCCTCCGATCCCGACATGACTGGGAATCCAGTGTAAGACGACTGGGCGGTTTTGTCTTTGGAATTCCTGTAGCTGTGCGAGGATCGAGGTTATGATGTGAACGTTGTCTCTTGGTTGACTGTGTTGCAGCGCCTGCATGGCCGATTTCGAGTCCGTGTGAATTATGGTGGACTTGTTGTGTTGTGTTGCAGCGTGTTGTAGGGCCTTTGAGATTGCTACCAGCTCTGTTTGTAGGGTGGAGCAGTCATTAGAAAGTCCCCATCGGAGGGTCTGACCTTGGGTGTAGAAGGCCGCTCCGGATGTATGATGTTTTGGATCCACAGAGCCGTCTGTGAAGTATGATGCTGCATCAGCCGGTGTCTCGGTGGCTATGGCTTCCAGAGTTATTTTTTTGAGGTCCTCCTTCTGGAGGTTGGCTTTACTATCGCCTAGGTCGGTAATTTTGAATGTGGCTGGTGGAGGGCTCCATGTTGGAGGAACTACGTAACCATTGTCTCGTGTGTCTTGGTTGTTCTTGACGAGTGTTTCTGCTTGCAGGTGTCGGATGACCTCGCTTGCCTCGTGCGACCAGGTGGCCCCTCGCACTCTGTGGTCGAGGTGGAGGGAGGCACTGATTCGAATTTTGGCAGCTGTGGGCTTATCTGATCTACAGATTTTGGCGAGGAGACCGGCTGTCACCTGCTTGACTCGTACTGCCAGGGGTGGTAGTTCGGTTTCCATTTGCAAATTGCAAATTCTGGTCTACATGGGTGCTCCGAGCATGGTCCTGAGAGCATTATCTTGGATGACTTCTAGCTTAGCTATCTGGTCTTCTCTCAGTCCAATGAGTGCTGGAGCACTGTAATCTACCAGCGATCTGATGGCGGCCGTGGAGGTTTGCTCCTGCGGTTGTGCTGGTGAGCGACCTCATTACATTGTGTCTGCTCTTCGTCCTGTGCCTGAGATACTCGAGTTGCGGCTTGAAAGTGAGTTTCTGGTCAAACCAGATTCCAAGACACTGGTGGGTGTTGGTCCAGACTACCGGCATGTTTTGTATGGAGAGCATCTTGTCTGGTGTGTCTGTGCAGATGGCCATCGCTTTCGACTTGGCTGGATTTATCTTGAGTCCAAGTCTGTTGCACTCCTCTTCTATAAGTTGGAGTGCGTGTTGCGTGTTGGCTAGTCTGTTTGATCCTCTTACTATAAGCTGTAAGTCGTCTGCATAGCATAGGAGCTTGGCTGTTTGTTTGAAAGGAAATTTGACAAGATTTTCCATCAGGACATTGAACAGCATTGGACTGAGGATGCCTCCTTGTGGGGTTCCGTTTTCATGGACCCTGTAGCTTGAGGTTGCTCCCTGAAAGCGTACTCTTGCTTCTCTCTGTGTGAGGTAGTTCTGGATCCACCCCAGCAACCTTCCTTTGACGCCTTTTTCAGCGAGCGTCGTTGTAATGGCCAGTGGATTTGCTAGTTCGAAGGCCTTCTCCAGGTCGAGGAAGACCACCAGAGCTGGTTTGTAGTCCACTGTGCTGAGTATCTCGGCGATGTTGTTGCCTGTGCCGGTGTTCTCGGTGTAAGCAAAGATGTGAGGGTGTGGGCTGTCTACTTTCCACTTGAGTCGGTTGAGAGCCATTCTTTCTCCCGTCTTCGCTATGCAGCTGAGAAGGGAGATGGGCCTCGGTTTGTCTGGTTCTCTGGGCTTCGGAATGGGCTGTATATCTGCCTTCTTCCATTCCGGTGGGAGTCTTTGCGCTGTCCACGAAGCATTGATGACTTGTAGCAGAACCTCGTGTCCGGCTGTACCGGCATGGGAAAGCATGGAGTAGGTTATCATGTCGGCCCCTGGTGCTGTGTCCTTGCTTCGTTTTAGCGACTTCTGGAGTTCTTGCAGGTCTCTTCGGTCATCTGGAGTCTGACCTGTCGCAGACGCCGTTGTGTCTCCTCCGCCTGTCTCGGGAGGTTTTTCGTTGCTGCTCGGTCAGAGAACAGTTTTGCAAGTCTCTCGGCTTCCTCTTCTGGGTTGGGATGGGTTGGTGGTGGTGGTGTTGCCTTCCCAGATGCCCTTCGGATCTGGGCCCACATTTTGCCAAGGGAGGTGTGCTCGTTCAGTTCGGAGCACCACTTGAGCCAACTTACGTTTTTTATTTCTTCCTTCTCTTCCCTGGTATCCATAACTATGACTTGCAGGAGATGTCTG